GGCACACTGAACACGGGCACACTGAACACGGGCACACTGAACACGGGCACACTGAACACGGGCACAAACATTCCGAAGGATGTTTTCATTGGATGATTGCCTAATTCTTCTCCCAACATGCCAAACATGTTCTCATGCATCCCTCATTCCTTTCCATTTGGTGCACAGAGAGCAATGTGCAGTGGAAGTGGGCCAAGTTAACCTGAATATCCACGCAATTCCATTCAAGTAAAAGCAGGGTGTAAATTGTGGTCAGTGAGCCAGCTCCTCATGCAGGGCTGGCTGCCCCCCTCCCAGGCTGACAGAATCACAGGTCTGAGCTCCCCCATGGGAGCCCCAATGCTGTCAGTCCAGGACACAAAGCCTGTGTCTGCAAAGCAGCTAGCTGTGCCCCTTCTGCACTGGATGCATATCACTGAAATCTACTGAAGCACATTTCTGTTCATTCAAATCCATCACCCATGTGCACAACTGCATTCTTTAAACTGTATTTTAACTATATTTTTCTGTCTTATATGCATTTCTCAATACAATATGTTTAAATGCAGAGCCAGGCCTTGGTAAAAGAGAACTAAGCGGCTGCTTAGTGCCCGGTGGCCACCAGGGGGTGCCCTATTCTGGGAAGGAAGTTGACAAATGACAGCTAGATTAATCAAATTTTGCTTAGGGCCCTAAAAAGGGTTGGGCTGGCCCTGTTTGAATATCTTATATATTTATTTTGCATTCATTGTTGTTGCGCTTTGCAACCAACAAGATTGAAATTTCATCGCAGTGTGTGAGCCATGCATCATACAGCTGAAGACCGAGCCCGGGTGGCATGCGGTGGTGGGCACCTACCCAGCACCTCCAGCTGGAAGTGCATGCGGTCCTCTCCCGCCTCGTTTACTGCCTGGCACGTGTACTTCCCGGCGTGCTCCTTCCGGACCTGCGGGATCTGCAGGACCTGACCGCCTTGGAGGAAAACACACCTGCTTTTCAGCATTTGCCTCTGGTGTTTGTTTGCCCTTCATTTTCACATGTGTATTTGCTTTTTACATTTTATTTTGTTTTTATTTACAGGGGTTGCTTTCAAGTGAGTATTGGGAAGGACAATAGAAATAAATCATGTTACCTTTGTACTAGCAGCGTACAATGATATCTTTATAAATAGCTTTTCCACACTCCATCCCCTCCCATTACTGTTTATAATGTCTATAATGCACTTTCAGTTTCCAGTGGCTTTTACAGTGGAGACCACTTATATGTGAGTGGTCTCCAGCTGTCACATGACCTTCTGTGACCAATAAAAATGGGATCTCTGCAAACCTACTTTTTATGGGGCTGGCAGATTTGACAGAGGACCCAATAGGGTGTCCACATGGATGCCTGTCTAAAATCCCTCATGTAAAAGGTGCTCACTCACCAGGCAGCAGCACCACGCCATCCATGGTAGAGAGCTGGCGTCCCTGGTGGTACCAGGTGAGGTGCGGAGGGGGGATGGCATTGCTCTCGCACGACAGGGTGGCCGGGTGGCCCAGCACCACTTCCTGCCTCTCTGTGATCTCCACCCCTTCCTCTGCCCATTCTTCTTCCTCTACTCCCAGACCCCAGGCTGCTGGGCCATTGTTAACGCGATGAAAGATAGGGGGCACTATGGAGATGGGAAAACAACTCAACAATGCAAGAGCTGACAACAGTCGTATTCAGTGTCGGTTTTTTGGTTGAGAGCATTCAAAGTACATTTGCTGTAGACCTTTCATTATAGCTTAACTGGTTACACTGACCCTGAACGGTGACATGGAAGTCTCTCTTTTCCTCTCCGGCGGCATTGGAGACCACACAGGTATACCGCCCCTCGTGGGTCCGCACAGCATTCTCGATGTGCAGGAGATGGCCTTCAACCCGGACCCCGGTGGGAGTGTGGTCCCCTAGTGGCTAGAAAACACAAAGTCTGTTAGAACGCTGTATAAAAGTTCATCTTCAATTCAATTCAATGAATGTATATTTAGGGCCGTTCACAACAGAGTTGCCCAATGGTGCTTGTCAATGATAAAATTTTTGAACTGCTTACAAATTAAATATTTAAACAATATTTTGCATGAAATAATGCAGATATACATAAATATACATCTCATATATGTACATGAGTGTACATATATAATATCTAATTGATTTTGTTTTCATATTAATATTAATTGTATATGTAATAATGATTATATACATAATGAGGTATAAGATATTCATGTTGTATTTCAGTAGCTTTGATTACTGTAGCTGAACTGCTAACACCTTTGGGAGTGAGGCTATTAGATTAACAAATTTATGCTACTGACATAGTCCGGGGTCCAACATGGCCCAGTGACTGAAATGGATTGGGAACCCCTAATGTCCATAATTAAGCTGAATTGCAGGAACACAGACCGCTGCCCCTACCTGTCCGTCTCGGAACCACTGGGTGGTAGGATCAGGGAAGCCTCTGGATGAGCAGGACAGGACCAGGGTGCCACTGACCCGGACTTTGGCTTCGCTGCCACCGGCGCTTCCTTCAATCTTGGGTGGAACTGAGGGAGACACAAAGCTGCCTTTGCTCCACCATTTATACGCGTCACTAATAATGCCATGAACAGAAGGCGAGTGTTTCCTGCCGTCTTTCTGCGCAAACACCTCTGATCACATTCATCACAGCTTATGGACAGCAATCTGAGTTTGACTCTGAGTGTGGCTTTTTTAAATACCGTGGAAATAGCTTATAGATATTATGTCTGTCCGGGTGAAATTGATCACTATAAGCAGATGATCATTATAACCAATTTTTTTCTTCTTATTATTATTGTCTTGGGCAGACTACCATCTAATTGACATTTGTATATTTATTACACAAGTGTAAGGTAATTAAACAGCGCCCCTATTTACTTAAGTTTATTGACAATTTCAAAATACATTACAGCTGTTTCAAACACTTTTCAAATTACAGTACTGTACAAATTAGTTAACTGTGTATAATTCAAATATGCTATAATACAGTACAGTATTGTACATAATATTCAGTTAAATTCAGTTCTATCTATTTATACAGCACATTTACATTGTATCAAAGCGCTTATTGCTGCATTACTGCTGCATCTAGAACGGTCGTTTTTGGCAGTTTATCATAAGCTTTGATTAGTCTATATTTTTCATTGAGGGAAAATAACTTTTTCCTGTCGTATTTTCTGTGCATGCAGCATTAGCCTCAGATAGCTAGCTGGAAGCAGACGAGTTACCACAAGGCAAAATAGACCTATCAAAGTAAAGTAAAAAGAAAAAAGTACCGCAGTTTAAATTTTTTCATATGTTGTCATGTTTAAGTGGACTACCTGATTACTATAAGTGAATTATTTAAACAGTATTTGTACAGGAATGATTCTGCCCAAAGCTTTTTGATCCATATAAGCAGTTGATCACTATAAGTGGGTTCCACTGTATTTGTTATTAAATCACCCCAGGAAGTGTGAAATTACATTCCGGGGTAGATTAACTGATCTGGAAACCCCCGGGCTGACATCAGCATGGACATACAGGTGTTGCTAGTTAAACTCACCGTCCGTCTTTCCCAGGGTGGGTGGGGTGCCTCTTGTTTGTCTGCTATAGCCTCTTACAGCCTGTGCATTAATCCGCCCCTGATTATGTTGGTATTTAGGTGAATGACTGATATTTACAGACGCTAAGCCTTTGTGGCTTTTATTGGAAGGTTGTGGGTTTGAGCTCAGCCTCGGCAGAATAGTCATATCCGTCTTAACCCCCAGCTCCAATGAAGTTTCATCATTATTATTTATATTTAAGCATTTTGCTCGAGCAGAAGCCCATCTGGGACTGGAACTCACGACCCTCATGTCTGTGCCCTCAGCAGATGCGGGCGCTTACCCAGCACCGTCAGGGTGTAGTGCCTGCTGTCAGTGCCAGCGGGGTTGGTGGCGCGGCAGGTGTAGATCCCGGCGTCGTCAGCACGCGCCACGCCCAGTTTCAGGCTCTGCCCCTCGTGCTCGTAGGTCAGCCGGGGCCCGGAGACCAGGGGATGGCCATCTTTCAGCCAGGTGAGGCTGGGAGCAGGGACACCCTCCACCTCACACGAGAGGACAGCGGGGAAGCCCAGCACCACCGAGATCTCGGAGCGCTCGCTTGAGCCTCGGACAGTAGGGGGTGCTATAGTGTCGCGAGGGACAGCAAAAGCAGGCTAGGCATGAGGCTCATCGTGGACCCTGGGGGACATTTTATGAAAAGCAACACAAAAAGCAGGGGCCTGATAAAGGGTCTTACCCTGAACGTTGACTCTGTACTGGCGGCTTTGAGTCCCAGCGTCGTTGATCGCCAAACACTGGTACTGACCATGGTCCCTGAGCCTAGCCAACTTCACCCTCATCACCTGGCCCCCCTCGGAGAACAGGACGTGGGGGTCCCCACTGCGGGAGAGAACCCTGGCAGACGCAGGAGACAGCATAGGTCAAGTGGGAAAGGAGTCTGTCTGCAATGCACCCAGTGAGGGAGAGCCAGGTCTGTGTGTGTGCGTGTGTGTCTGTGTCTCTCTCTCTGTGTCTGTGTGTCCTTCTTTGTCTGTATGTGTCCCTGTCTGTGTACCCTTCTCTGTGTCCTGCACTGTGTGTCCTGTCTGTATGTCCCACACTGTGTGTGTCATGCACTTACTCCCCATCGCGGCTCCACTCCACCCTGGGCACTGGATGTCCACTGACTCGACACTGTAGCTCCACCTCCTGACCTACCACCACCACCAGGTCCTGCACCCCCGAGGAGCCAGAGATCACCGGAGGGGCTACAAACAGACAGCAGACATAAGGAGAAAAGCACAGGCTTACATATATCCATCTATCCATCCATCTATTCATTCATTCATCCAGTCATCCAACTATCCATCCAACCATCTTCTAACTGCCTGTCCTGGTCAGGTCACAGGGTTTTAAATATACATGAACACCAAATCTATAGTAAATGTCAGTTCTGCCTTTGAATACAATGCATTTTACAATGAATTACTAATTGCGCAGGTCAGTGAAATACTTGTATGCAAAGTGGATGCATGGATGGATGCATGGATGGAAGGGACTGATGGATGGATGGACGGATAAATATCATACATCTTATTTTAAAAATGTATGTTGCTTTGGATAAAAGGATAAATGAAATGTACATGTAAATAAATAGATAGTGTTATTATTAAACATGAGCAGTGCTGTCTTATCAATACATAATTCAAAGTAAATGAGCCAAGCTATAAATGACCATTGCCTACAGTCAGTCTACTCAGCTCTTCTAAATGGTCATTTTATCCTTTTATAATCACTGTAAATACAGCTGGCAGTACACTCAGCCCTCAACTAGACTGCAGCATTTTAAGCAGAATCAATTCTCATCAGATTCATGCATCATGTTTTAGCTGCTTGGTTGCTCCTATCCAAAGTGGCCCTTTAATACAGCTGGATTTCCACCTGAAGCGGTTCGGGTCGAGTGCATCTCTCAGTACCGCCATATCTGTCATGTTTATTTTTATAAGGCACCTTTCAAAACCCAAAACTCTTGATAAATAGCAACAGGTTAGCATCACGCTGAGAGGAAACAGATTCGGATCAATGTCAACAGCTATAAAAGTTATACATCATCTGGAAAAACACAAGTGGTAAAAAGCGCATCTGGAGATCACCTTGAACCACAATGTTGTAGTTCCTCCTGGCCTCCCCAGCTGTGTTGACAGCTGTGCAGGAGAACTGCCCGGAATGTTCCGCCTGCACGCGGAAGATCCTTAGCAGCCGCTTTGCATTCTGGAGGTACACCCCAGGGGTATCCACCACCTGCAAGCAGCCAAAGACGCCGGGATTCTAGAAGGAGCAGCTGCAGTAGCACAAGTCCATCGCTAGGTGCCAGTATTTAGTCATAAAACACAAAAAAACACCTTGACCGGGTAGTCTTCCAGTGTCTTACTCATTTGCTGCTTCATGGATGCTGTGTTCCTTTGGGGTGAATTTCTCATGTAATTATGAGATTAATTAAAGCCTGTGAAGGCACGGTAGGGGTTCTGCCCGTTGAATGGTACACCAAGTATGCATCATTAAAATGGAAATCGGATGCAGACAAATTACCAGTATTTTCCGAGATCCGAAAACGTTAAAACATTCCCCCAGAGAGCCAAGACTCACGGGTCGGCCATCTTTGGCCCAGGTGATGGCAGGGGGGGGAACGCCAAAGGCGTCACAGGCCAGGGTGAGCGGCTGCTGAAGGGTGACAGTGAGGTTTAGGGGCTGCATGTCCTCCTGCATCTCTGGGGGGACTGGTGACGGGACGGTGAGAGAGAGGGGAGGGCGGGAAAAGTGCAACTTTTGAAAAGCATTTGTTGCTACAGTTAAGAAGCTGTGTGGCTTCGTGCACAAAGAGCAGCTTTGCATATAAGCGTGTAGCTAAAGACGGCGGGCAGACTGCTGTCGCATTTACTCACAGACTGGAGGCGCTCTCAACCCATAATAGTGTTAATACATGTTTAAACACTTTGTAAGCTGCTCCATCCTAACACAGCTTTACTTCTTGTTTTGGGGGAAAGTGCATTAAGTGAGACAATGAAGTGAGCAGCAAAGGTGTGTCTTCTGAGGATGACAAACGGTGATCGAGTCGAGTCGAGGAGCTCACCGTTCACTTTGAGGCGGGTCTTCCTCTCTGTGGAGCCCGCCTCATTGGTGGCCACACACCGGAAATCTCCACTGTGACTGGCAGAGACGGCAGCGATCATGAGGGAGCCGTTCTGTGACACGGAGACGTCGGCAACGGTCCGGTCAGGCCGGATCTCCAGGCCATTCTTAAACCAGCGGATCTTTGGTGGCGGGGAACCTGAGATCAGGTGCAATAAGAAAGGGGGTGGGAAAGTGGGGTGCCGGGGGTCTGGATATGAAACTCATGGATCAAGGCACACACAGCAGTCACAGCCAGTGAACCTGGAGGGAACCCCGCAATGACGCAGGGAGAACATGCAAAATCCACGCACATACAGCCTGGTCTCCAGAGATGTGAGGCAACCGTGCTCACCACTGCATTATTCATTTTTATTGCACTATTTAATCACTGCTGTTGTGGGACTAAGCACACAAGTATTACACTCACCTGGACAATACCAAGTGTCAGGTGATGTGACAAATACAGTGATTTGATTTGATCTGATTTACAGCGGCATTCCAGAGCAGTTCAAACGCACTCACATCTAAAAACAAATGTTCCAACACCCCCCCCCAGCTGGTCCAGTAAACCACAACACGACTCCCTTCCTCTTCTAGTTTGAGATAATTTACTTTCAAACAGATGTGGGCCGTGGAAACCCATCTTCCGTTATAAGGTTCACATGAGCACACCCTGGCAACCGGAGTGCAGACACAGGGAACACGGGCCCACTTCCGTCCCGAAGTTTCCAGAAGGTGGAGTGGGGGGTGCTGAGGTGAGGCCCAGCGGGACCTGCAGCCTGCCATATGCCATATGTTGCATGCTTATGTTGAGGTATGCATACATTGTTCTAACACAGACAAGCAAAGTGCTTACAGAGTTCCGTGGATTTTAAAAATAGATCAGCCATTGCCTGCCCACTGGCCAAGGTTTACTAAGGCTTCCCCCATCACCTTCTGAGCAGCGTGCAGTTAAGCACGGTACCCTGGGAGCCACGCCACTGTCTAACTGGGGGATAATGTCATGGTCTGTGGGAAGGGATGACATTCTCTCCTAGATCCCCATCGCAGAGGGTTAGAAATCAAACGGTCATGAAAGCTGGAGTCCTCCACTGTGCTCCAACTGCTCGCCTGAGATAAGGCTAAAGCGAGCATGGCGAGAACCTCCAGGGTCCACGCAGCGGGCTCACGTCACGTGCCAACATGCCTGCAGTGGAGACAAACACCGTGGACCCCTCTCTGAAAAAGCTGCCCCACTATCTGGCAGCTGCAGCCTTGTAATTAGGATGCTGCTCCCTTCATGCTAAAAAGCAGATGTGCCCCGAGACAGCGGGGGAGGGGGATGAGACTAGACCAGCTGTTGCAAAGCACCACCTTCCGATTCCTGAAACATACTCGGTTGCCAGGGCAGTCACCCCCGCCCCCACCATACCCCAACATCCCCAAATGGAAAAATGGGAAGATCGCATGCTTTCCCAGACTCGTCTGACTACAACGACGGGCATGCTCTGCATGGTAGACGTCTGGTATATGCATCTGCACTCTGGACACCGATCCCCCCCCCCCCAGTTACACATGTGTAAATGTGCATTCAAGAACATGAGACCCTTCAGACCCTTCCCACCCTCCGTATAGCCGTGCCTCAGGCAACACGTAAAAAGGCATGGAAAACACAACAACAACAGGAAGTCACGCCTGAAAATTAAGGGAAGGTAATGAAACCTGACAGCTGGACAGGGAGCAAAACCGTTTGCCATCACTGGCATGGACTAACAAGCAGGAGGAACAGTCCGGTAAGATAAGAGTGACTCCAGGAAGTGATGTCATTATCACAATGGTCCCACGCATGCTCAGTCACCCATGCTACTGTCATCATATTCTCAAAATCTTTATCAAGCAGATTAAATATTGGTCACCTACCTCCTGCAAAGCAAGGAATCTCCACCTTGCTCCCAGCTACCGTCTCCATGACAGCGGCTCCAGTGTCCACAAAAGATGGAGCCTCTGTAAGGACCACAAGGTTAAATGGTGAACCGGGTCACCAGTCCAGACCATGCCTGAAAGAGGTCTGACTGCTTCTGTCCTTTGAGCAAGTGGCTACCCACCCAGGACCTGCAGCACCATCTCCTTGGTGTCCTTCCCGGCACTGTTCTCAGCCTCACAGTGGTATGTACCCCCATCCTTGTGTGTCACACTACGGATCCAGTGGGCCTCGCCTTGCCCAAGAGCCACCCCATCCCGGGACCAGCTGATCTCCGGGAAGGGCTCACCCTGGGCAGCACATGGCAGGGTGACCGTCTGGCCCAACAGGGCCTTCACCACCGAGGGCACGGGCTCGATTCTGGGCTTAACTGAAAGATTAAAAAACACATCTTCTGCTACTTGTCACTGTTCTCAAAAAGGACACATAATGAGGCTGGTGATGTCAGCCATAGCTGTACCCTGATGCACCCTGAGCATTTTCCTTAAGTATGAATTAAAAACAGTGATGGCAGCCAATTCTGGATCATTAGCATGTTGCTAATAGAAGTTTAGCCAGTATTTGCGTTCAACAGAAAGATAAAGGATGAGAAGCCAGCTCTTTTAGCACGAGGTGGGGGGGGCAGAGACCTTGTACACGGAGATTGTAGGTGAGTGACACATTTCCTGCCGGGTTCACTGCGGCGCAGGTGTAGAACTTGCTGTCGATGAGCCTGACATCAGAGATCTTCAGAGAGCCAGAGGGCAGCACAGTGAACCTGGGGTCCAGGGAGAGAAGGTGTTGTTGTTCAGGAGTTCAGTCCAGAAGCAAAGCAGGTTGGTCATACATCATGAGACAGAACCCCTACAGACCTCATGCTCCTTTATATGATCTATCATCAAGCAGCAAGGGCCAGTACAAAAGGTTAGGGGTTTCCATGACGGTTGTTCACCATCCGAAGATTAACCCAGCTAATGAAATCCACATTACCTTGCAAGGTCTTTAAGTAGTCAACTGCTGAAGGAAGTAAAAGAATTGCCTTTAAAGAAGGTATGTACAGAGTGGTCTGTCTGTCTGTCTGTCTGTCTGTCCATCCACCCATATCTTGCTTCCAAAACCCCAGATCAGGTAAGTATGTGCCCTCCAACAGGGTTCTGTGGACAAGGTAATAGCCCCCCCCACCCCCTCTTATACAGAGGTATGTTATACTCATCAGGCCAGCCCGGCAAACAGCTACATACAGTCCCTCCACCCCCCGAGCTCCAGAACATCAATGCAGTACAACCTTTCCGCACCCTTTTTCCAGGTGATCCCCTCCTCGTCTCGCCCTTCTTTCATCCCCCCTCCCCCCACCCAGAGGACATCAAATGGACTCCCCCTCATGGGTGGCCCAATTCCCATTGAGTGCCTTCCCATGCACAGCAGAGCAAAGAGACGACAGAGATTTGGCCCAGAGCAGATGGACATTCTTGGCAAAGCGGATGCGTGTCTCAAACCAGGATGCGAGCAAGAGTCACTCGGGACTCACACTTAGCCACTCTACTGAAAACTCCTGTCTAATCAGAAAGGATCTGACAGCACATGGGCATCTGCCCTCCCATTTGTGGCTGGAGAAACACAATGCTTCATTCTCTTTACCAAGCTGACACTGGGGGGATGGGGCGTCCGTCCCGGAGCCATATGACCAGAGGAGTGGGGCTGCCCTGGGCCTCACATGGAAGGATGACCTCGGACCCGGCTTCGACGGCCATCTTTACTGTGGTTTCGTGGTCACTTCTGCCCACCAGGGTCGGCTTCGCTGTTAAGGAGAGGGCCCAGTTCACTGCCAGGGACCAGGAACAGGTTCTATCATTCTTGCCATCTGCTGGCATCCCACCCCCACTGCAGCCTTACTGTTGACACTGAGCTGCGTCTCCCGGCTGGCAAAGCCCGCGGGGCTGCTGGCGGTGCACACGTAGATTCCAGCATCTTCTGCTGTGGGACTGGGAATGTGAAGCTGCCCTTCTGGTCCCTGATGGAGCAGAGAGGTGTGGCTGGGCAGGGGATCCCGTCCCTGGGGGAGGGAGGACACACACACGTGCGTGAATATACAGGACTGCGCAAAAGTCTTAGGCGGTCAAAGTAAATGATGTTTAAATGATCTTCATGCTGGTGTACAACTAAGACATTATGTCTATCAACGTGTGTCAGCTTAGCCATTTCAAAACCTCTCAAATATCTGCAGCAACTAACCAATATGCCCATGTATTTTTTGACTCCACACCTTGTATGATCAGTCAATAACTCGTCAAGTTAAATAGCAAGTGGAATAGCTGGGGTGCCCCTGAGAAAAGGTTTGGGAACCAAACTTCCAGCCATCTTCCGGTTCTTCGAGCCATCCAGCTATATACCAGTAACTTTTTGGAGAGCAGAAGAAATTCTTCTTGTACTGTTAGTTTGTTGTGTTTCCGTTAACACTACAATGTATGCAAAATTTTTTCTTCGCAATTATACACCTACTACCCGGGTAAATAGCTTTAAAAATTTTCTTTTAAACTTTTTAACATGTATTGTATATTTAATATCTAGCTAATGGACCACATGACTTCAGACTATTAAATGCTATTCATTATTGTGGGAATTCTCTCAGCAATCCACTACACCAGAGTTCATTAAGCATTATAGCAAAAGGGGAGGATGTCCATCTAATCGAGGTCTAACAAAGATTCCTTTGTTTGTTTTTTTAGTAATTTTCTAGCCTAAGAAGAGGTCGTGGGGTCAGTGTGTCAGCCGTAGGTCACGGTTCCCTGTAAGTCACGACCTCCCCTGGGATCACCCTCCTATTTCAACTTGAGCAATAAGATGGCTTTCACAGCCCTGCTTTCATGTGACAAGGGGAGAAATTTACTTCACCCAAGCCGGGCAGGAAGACAATGTAATGAAAAGGGATGGCTGCACATCTCCGGGAAGGAAATTCCATGATACCTTAACCACAGGACTCGAAATAAACCAACATGCCTATTGAATATCCACAATTTTCGGATTAATGAACTAGTCCATCTGAGTTGGGGGAGGCGGCTGGTGAAATTGAGCTTATGGATCAGAACTATATTGGGACTATAAGACTCAACCTCTGTCCACCAATGCCCAACCCCAACAAAAACTCCGTTATGCAACAGTAACGTTCAACGCTGATCACCAGGCTACATGTCACTCGAGCTATAGGACAAGGCTCACGGAGCATGGGGCAGTCTACCTTAGTCCAGACCAAGGTCGGCTTCGGCCACCCGCCAGATTCACAGGTCAGGGTGATGGCCACGCCCTCATTAGCGATGTAATGCAGGGGACCTGGCCTAATCTCTGGGGGATCTGTGAATTCGAATGAGTATCATGTCAATAAGCAGGAGTTTTAATGACACCTGCTTCAGTCTTCATCTGTTGCTAACAAAATATTTCTTGTCAGGATTAATCAACAAAGTGCATCAACAAAGAAGTGCCAGTTGCCCATGGATACCGGAGAATAAACTTGGATGTTTTTCGTGTAAACGGAAAGCTTCTTGGTAGTCTGAGGAAGTTTCAAGTGCTTTGCTCAGTCAGTCTCCCAAAGGGGCTCTCCGACACATCAACCAAAGAAAAAAGCCCAATCCTGCCCACCTTACCATGCACATCCAGGGTGACAGAGAGGTTCGCTGACCCCACTACATTGATGGCGGTGCAGACATACGTCCCAGCATCCTCAGGGATGACCCTATCAATGTGCAGGCTACCATCACTCTTTAGGTAGGTCCTGGTGCTGAGTTGGACCTGGCAGGAAGTGGGGTTAAAGGTCACAAACCAAGGTGACGTGACAGAGGGGAGTTGCTGACGACAGGTATGAAATATGAGCCTCACTTGTTTTCCGTTATGTTGCCAGTATCTCTCCGGCAAAGGAATTCCGTCCATCAGCATGCAGGGAATAGTCAATGGCTGACCAATCACGGTGGTGAGTGATGAGGCCCCACGAGCCAAAACCGGGGGTTCTGTAGACCAGGGGACAAAGACTGGGTCACTATGATCCAAATTAAAAACCACTGGCAGATATTCTGACAGGAAGTTGTCAGAAAATCCTGAAGCTACCGGGACAACAGCCAAGCCATTTTGTCAAGTTACTGACCCAGGCCAGTGATGGTCACTCGAGCTTCGGCACGTATGGATCCAAACTGGTTCTGGGCCTCGCAGGTATACAGGCCTTCATCATCAATCCATGCACCTGTGGGGACAATTCACAGCGGCTCAGTGGCGGGAGCCGGGCAGTGGGGGCGAGCTTCATGGGAGCCGTTTTGTATTCGTCAGCAGTTTCTGGCTGCAGCAAAAAGCCAGGTGAGGTAGCAGATGGATCTGGACGCAGACTCACTTTCCACTTTGGAGGACCATCACTCCCATACCGGCAACGTTGGCCTATAAAAGTTTAGCACTCTCAAAACATTCTGCATGCAGCCATGACCCGCTCTCTCTCCCACCAGGACCGGCACCGGCGTGCGTCCATGGCGCGGAACGCCAACCTCGCTGCCTTAGGGGGAAGCTTTCTGAACTTTGTTGTTCATCCATGAGACACCATCTGCCAAGATGGCCACTGTCTGCACACACTATGGGTCACTGAGCCGTGTGTATGGGAGGGTTAGGGTTAGGCTTAGGCTTAGGTTTATATCAAGAGGGCCGACTCACCCCTCAATGCTAGAAACCCAACAGGCCTATAGGAGGTGCTAATAATAATAACCCAAATATATCCTATAATACCCTTACTGTCTCTAACCACTGATGATATCAATTTCTCTATCATGCTCATGGTAGAACACTTACTCACTACTAGCACACTTGCTACTCTACTTTATGCTACTCTAGTCCAGGAAAACCTCTGGAAAAAACTCTGTTACTATTATTCTGTTACATAACTCAGTTTTCTCGTTACATACAGGGACAGGTTTGTTCTTGAGGGGGTGATAATTATAAACAGAAAAGCAGGTGGGGTGCAGCCTAATAAAACCAGCTGACCAGAGGGTTGTTAACATTGTCGCTGGGGGTACCAAACAGATGACTTTGAATGCGATCATGGGCCAGAGGTCAAACTGTTGAGTGGCCCCTACTGTGCCTGTGCAGGCACTCACTGTGGATGAGGAGCCCCCCCGAGTGGAGCTGCAGGGCCCCAGCGTGCCCATCGGGCCCCCGGGAGACCGGCCGCCCGTCCCCTCGGCTCCACGTCACCGACGGCATCGGGAAGCCGCGAGCGGAGCAGGGCAGGGTTACGTTCTCCCCCACATCCACAGAGACGTCATGGGGGATGCTGAAGAGCTGGGGGGCAACTGCACAGAATCGGGGGGGGGGGGGGGCGTGGAATTGACGCTACAAAAGTACCAATGCTCACAACCGTTTACAAATACAATCATGACATACAACAAACCAGCATCTAATTAATGCACCCATCCAGTGCTCAACCCAGTCCTCCGGGACCTCCAGACAGTTGAGATTTTTGCTCCCTCTCTACTCCCAGGGCACCTGCACCTGGAGGGAGCAAAGATGTGGACTGTCTGGAGGTCCCTGAGCACTGATTTGACAGAGACTGATCAATCCATCACAGTGTGACTGGAGCCTGGCAAGACCCTGACTGGGAGGCCAGCCCATCACAGGGCAAGACATTTATATTTATACTGAAGATGTTTTAGGTTACAAATCTAAAGCACCCTGTACAGTTACACCCTGCCCAGAACTGCCTCGTCTCTGACCTCCAACCTCCAGGGTGACAGTTGCAGACGCAGTTCCAGCTGAGCTGCTGGCCACGCAGATGTACTCCCCCGCATGCTCCTCCTGTACCCCGGGAAGCCGGAGCGTGCCACGCTGCCCGTCCTGCATGGCGAATGGGAGCAGCGCCGCCTGCTGGTCGCCTGAAGCCACAACAACTGCAGTTAGCTTTCCCGTTTCACATATGGGATGGTCCTGTGCTGATCCCACCCTCACCTTTGATCCAGCTGACCAGGGGGGGCGGAGTCCCCGTGGCTTGGCACTCCAGAAGGGCGTCCTCGCCGGCAACCACCAGCACCACACGTCTGGCCACGGTAATGCTGGGCCGCTCTGCAGATCAGAGCAGGGGAGTGGGGGTGAGGGACACAGCAAGGCCGAGAGTCAAAAAATGTCATTTCTGGGGCTCTGCTCAAAAAGTCACTTCAGAGCTCCCAGTTTGCTCCATCCTCATCAGGCGTTTCACTGTCTGAGGTGAAGAAAACTGTCAATTAGGCCAGAGGTAAGGATAAAGAGTTAGTGGTTCAAGTCAAGTCAAGTCAAGTCAACTGGATTTTTAGTCATTTCAACCATATACATTGCATAGTGAAACAAGACAGCGTTCCTCCCGGACCATGGTGCTACATATAACACTACATCAACACAGGACTACATAAAGTGCAAGTGTGCAAAAAGTGCATACACTGCAAAAACAGTGCAACACAAGAAGAGATGACAGTAAGACATAAGATTAAGACAGGCTAAGTGTAACGTGCAACAGTGCAATAGGTTGTGTAAAAAGTTATTGAGGTAGTGGACTGTGTGAGGTGTGTGTGTGTATCAGTCCGGTCTCTGATTGTTCAGGAGTCTGACGGCTTGGGGGAAAAAGCTGTTGCAGTCTGGCAGTGAGGCCCCGAATGTCAAAAAGGGAAAAATATAATATGAACATTGCGATTTTAGAGATGAATGCGAGGCGTACCATGCAAAGCTATTTCCTCAGGTTTCCCATTGTGTTTAAAATTCCAGGTGGAAAAAACAAACTATGCTGTGCTGATATAATGTGGGTGCATAAAATGTAACATTTCTGCTTGATCACAGCTGCAAACGTAAAATATGCAAATGACCTGGTTATTGTGCCTGTATATCTTTGAATAGCTTCATGATGTCTGGACTGCAAGGAGACACTTTGATTTTCAAGCAAGATTACAAACCTTCATTGTTCAGACAACTTTGGAGTTTAGAAGAGGTGCTACCAGTTTTGTAGCGTCTCGGGAGCTTATATAACACGCTCAAAGCTCTTCACCGACGCTGAATACATTAAAGAATATTTTATCAAAGTAGCAGAACAGCCATTTACCAATCTCAAAAATGATATTAAGAAAATTATGGACATGCCACTTCAGTTCTTAAGTCCATGAAATACTGAAAATAATTTGTTCGCACTTTGTTGTTGGTTTTATACAAAACATGTTGCTAAACCGTTAAGTTTCCAGTAAAGTTCTGCGGCTCCAATGGTTTTCAGTTTTTCTGAGAGTGGTTCTTTTTTTCAGTAATGTTGCTGATCCCTGGCTTTTTTAGCTGTTTGTGACGTCCTCGCTTTGATTTTCCTTTTTTTTTTTGTGACATCGCTGGACCATGATTGCTTCAAGATCGCATAGAACGTTAACGTTAGCTAGTGAGTCAGGAGATCATAGCTAGCTAGCAGATTATCAGAACATGCTCCTTTATCATCTACTAAATAAGCAAGCATGTTTAATGTATTTTTAGTTTGATCAACAGGGGCCCACCCAAAACACGGGGGCCCCACACAAATGCGTGGCGTGAGAGGTGGTACACCCCCAAGTGACCGCCAGGGTCCCTAGCCACACCCACCTCCGTCACGCCAAGTGGGCCAACGCCGAGGGGGCTTTTATAAATAACGAAAATATTTGATGACTTTTAAAAATAACAAGAGTATTCAGTAACGCTGTCAGCCGGACACCCGCAAAGAAGGGTCTGGCACCCTGCGATGAAAAGCTGTCATGTTTAATCAGGCTGTCGCTGGCCCTCCCACCGCTCTGCTGATGGGGAGGGATGAAAGATCTAAATGTGGAGAGCAGCATGGGGATGCCTTGGGTTCAAGGGCCTTAGGAAACCTCCACCCCCCGTCTCTCAGAGCCGCTGGGGCAGCCCCACACTCTCAGAATTTTATTTCATTTTGTGTATAATGTGCTTTGCTTGCAATCCATTCTGTTCCGTACTCAAGTTCCTGATTCTATACTTTCTTTTCTTGTTTCCCATTTTCTTACCATTTTCTCAACCTGCCACAGTGCTCTCTCATCTTATATCACATTTCCATTAGACATCCTGTACCCCTGCAGGTACCGCAAAAGTTTATTTTCCTGTCACATGACAAAAACTGATGATCTGTGACGCAGCTTGACAGCAATCTGTCCAGCTCTGTGTCCGTAAGCGGGAGACCAGAGGCTGACTACGACTGGTCCATTATATCACTCGCTCTGATTGGTTAAGCAAGGAGCATATCATAGAGGAAACTCTGTTTCTCTCAAACAGGAGTTGTCACTTTTAAAAGAAGCGTGCAGTGATATATGCAGCCCCAAAGCCCTTGGCATTCTATGCGCTTTGCCATAATTTAGAAATGAAAAATAAGATCCTTTTATGGTTGAGAGAACAGGCCGGTCAGGCTTCTTTTGAAACCGAGCTGCTCATTCTGCATTTTCCTTCATTAAGGTTGTTTACTGCTGTTTGTATCTGCTGAGGTTTGGAAGCTATGTACCTAATTACTTTAATTAGGTTCGCCCTGGGGCTGTCACTTTGTAACTATGTCGCCATCACACAGTATTGCCTTGGTCTTGATTGCAATTAAAATAAATCTGGCACAGTGTGGCCTCCTTTGTCCCAGTTCAGCCTTGGCACAATAGCGGGAGGGCTTCCGTGGATGAGGCTTGGCACTTAATCTCATTTTTATTGAAGTTTTCATTCCGCCCACCTTCATAGCTCAGGGTGACTGTCTGATTGGCCGTGCCAGCTTCGTTGGACGCCAGGCAGGTGTAGTTCCCAGCATCCTCTGGGAGGGCCGCTCTGATGGTCAGCGTTCCATGCTTTGATATGGACACTCTGAGTAAATCAAGGTGAACAATCTTAATAAGGACACACATTTATATTTTCTTGTTTGCACACCAGTAAGATATGTTCTCATCAGCTGCTAGATTACAGCTGCTTGAAACAAATAGGTAGTCAAAATGCATCATTCATCCATCCATTATCGCAACCGCTTAATCCCCACTGGGATCGCGGAGCCTATCCTGGGAACAATGGGCACAGGCAGGAACCAACCCTGGGTGGGTGCCAACTCACCACAGGGGTCACACAGCCACACTCACAACTACAGGGCCAATTTAGACATGCCAATCAGCCTATCCTGCACACCTTTGGACTGGGGGAGGAAACCGGAGCCCCCAGCGAAAACCCACACAAAGACAGGGAGAGCGAGCGAACGCCACACAGAAAGGACCCGAGATCGAACCCAGGACCTTGCTGTCAGGCAGCAGCACTAACCACTGCGCCACCGTGCTGCCTTTTCTTGACCCGTTACCGTTTGTGAAAGATGGATGGATGAAGAGGATAAGCCATTTTTGCAAATGCAGTAACCTGAACAATAAATATGGGACTAGGTGTGGTGGATGTGCACGAAGCTCTCACTGTACCTGCTTCTGCTCATCAGAAACATGTTCTTGTAGGTCCAGAACACCTGGGGGGCGGGAGACCCCGAGGCCGTGCAAACGAAGCGGACATCGCCCCCCCGGGAAAAGGCCAGCCTGCGGGGAGTGACGACCACAGAAGGGACCTCTGCAGAAAAACAGTGAGCGGACAAATACAGTCACCAAGACACTGCACACAGCCCGCCCACACACCCCCCCTGACTGCAACAGCAGTGCCCCCTCCTGACTGGAACAGCAGTGCCCCCCCCGACAGGCTGGTGGGCGTCGAGTTCTCTTTTTTTTTTTTTTGTTTTGTGACCCCGACATTGACATGTCATATAAGAGCCTCGTTGTTTTCTGAAGCAACGGCAGCGTTCCTCGTTCAAATCGCACTCTGGGGGCCAAGATGCACAAGGAGAGAGAGAGAGAAAGAGAGAGAGAGAGAGAGAGAGCGAGAGAGAGCGAGAGCACTGTGCTGAATCAGCCACCCTAATAGGGAGCAGATGGCGGACTCTGCCCCGCGTAACAGCAGCAGGAAGAACTCGCTTTCAGATAAGTCGCACGAGAAGCCCTGGGAAGACTGTGCAATGAAAGGCCACCCCGCCAGCAGCAAGGTGATACTGGGACAAACGTACTGGGACAGCTGGCCATTACACCCACCCCATGCTTCCAACTCTGTGGGAACAGTTTGGGGATGGCCCCTTTCTGTTCCAGCATGACTGTGCGCAAAGCAAGGTCCATAAAGACATGGTTGGGTGAGTTTGGTGAAGAAGAACTTGACTGACCTCCATAAATCCCTGACCTCAACCAACCATCGAACACCTTTGGATTGAACTAGAATGGAGACTGCGAGCCAGACCTTCACGTCCAACATCAGTGCCTGACCTCACAAATGCTCTTCTGGATGAATGGACAAAAATTCCCACAGACACACTCCAAAATCTTGTGGAAAGCCTCCCCAGAAGAGTGGCAGCTGTTATAGCTGCAAAGGGGGACCAACTCCATATAGATGCCTATGGATTTAGAATGGGGTGTTATGCGAGGATTTTGGGTGGAAATAAAATTATGCTTTAGTGTCAGTTTGAACACGGACTTGTACCTCAGAATGATTTTGTTTTCATATTTCTCATCACGCTCTCCTTTGAGACAAAGCCACACATGAGCAGGTGAGAGTGAAGCTTCAGAACACAGGGTTACCTATTTATCTGACACTCTAGAGCATTTAGGACCCACCAGTAACGTTACAATCCTGCTGAACACAGGATTCAAACCAGCGACCTTCTGATCACAGGCCTAACCTGCTGAGTCAGACACTGCCCCCTGCAGGCCAGGAAAGGGAGGTGACAAGTTAAGATAAGGTAGGGCTCATGAGTGGAGAGTGTGCGGAGTTTAACCTGTTAGTAACCCTCACCTGGGACTAGCAGCCAGACACTGGCCCTGCTCTGGCCTTGTGTGTTGCTGGCCACACACTGGTACTCCCCTACATCCTGGGGTCCGACGGGATCGATCTCCAGTGAGGAGTTCCTCAGGACTCGCGCTCTGCCGGTGCCGGCCGCGCCCAGGCGCTGCCCGTCCCGACGCCACGTCATGTTGTACCGCGTGGCACCCTCCACCTGGCAGACGAGCACAGCCCGGGCCCCCCGGGGGGACGTCACGTTGGCAGGGGGCTTCAGGACCGGCAGGGGGTCTGTGACAGGCAAAGAACCGGTCAGAAATGCAGCGCCGTCAGGAGACGACCGATAAAACACTTAATGTGGGTTTGGAGGAGTCACCGACTCTGCTAATGTAGCACTAGACACGACTGGAGCAACGATTCCACTAAATAACCAAGACAAGCAAAATAGGATGAACAGCTTTCATTTAGCAGAATTACTCCTAATCTGTTTATCAAGGTTTTTAAGTTCCTATGATGGTTTGTCTAAAGCTAAATAACTGCACTTAGCTCACTTCCTTCACTATCAGTCAATTTCCTGTGTATCTATACTTACATTTGCATCATTTAGCTTTCATATAAAGTGACACACATCTGCGTAAGTAGGGTTCGGCGGTCCCAGCCGCATTTGTGGTTAAGGGCCTTGCCTGGGAGCCCAGCACCCAGTGACCTTCTGATCACAGGCACAGCATCCTAACCCACTGAGCCACACACCATGCCAAGGATACTGGGCGAATTCGGATCTGGCCTTTGTGAAATCAGTCACCCCCTGACAAAGCACCCACTTGCATTGAGATGATCCTCCTTCAGCGGTGCAGTGCCAGAAACTCCAAACCCAGGACCCCAGCTTCTCCAGCACCCGCACTGACCTTTCACAACCAGCTGCGTCTCGGCCCGACCCCGGCCCACTCTGCTCTCGGCCACACACTCGTACGCCCCCTCGTCCTCCCCAGAAACGCGTGGGATTTCCCATGATGCTTTGTCAGAGGACCTGGGAGGTGGAGTAGACAGGTGGAAGCCACAATAAGCACATTACGTTAAATTATTTCCAAAACTGACTAATCAAAATTCCATAGTTAGTTTCAAATATAGTAGCTGAGGATCATAAATAAAAAAAAATGTTAAATTTGTGGTTTTGATAGTAAATTAAATTGGCACATCTATATGGGACCAATAAGAAGAACCCACTGAAAGGTTTTTTCTTCCCCGATCCGGACTCCACTCCTGGTGATTCTCAGCCTGTAAGGGACTTCGCTTTCCACGGAGCAGCCAATCACAGTGGGCTGCATGTAGAAGCCTGTGATTGTACTGGGCATGCTCACTGAAGGAGGCCCTATGGGGAAGAGAAAAGGCAGGTAGTGAGGGGAAGGGGCCGTCCTATAGGCCTGGTTGAGCTGCCATTGGTCAGAGCCATGTTGGAGAGACTGGTTAAAGAGTTCCTGCCTGGGATGATGTTGGTATACGAGACACTGGACAGCCTCTGGAACCTGTAACCGTCAGCATCCTTGCCGGACACTCGTAGGAAGAACCTCTCAGAGGGAGAGTGGAACTCAGGGACATTCCAGAGCCCACGGGCACCCTTGTCTGAGGGAAGGGGGACGGGGAGAGTGCGCAGGGAGCGTCCGGAGGCTGAGACCAGCTCCGTGTGGCTGACCAGGCCTGGCGGAGAAAGCCCCGAGCATTTCAGAAGAACATGGGCCGGGACGCCTGCGGAAAAACATGGAGATGGTATAGAAACACATTAAAAAATAAGGATCCAGTCACCGTACTCAGAGAGCCATATTGGTATCTGCCGATGTTCCTTAAAAGCCAAGACATCAGCATCAGTCTGATTTATCGGTCTTGGTCGATATCGTGGTCACTACGCACCTTCACGACATCTTATGAAGTAATGCCACCAACATCAGCTTCTCTCAGGGTTTAGCCGTTTTGCAGTATCGGTTATCAGGGTCACTTATATTAGACAGTACAGTGGGACCCCTATATCTGCAGTTTAACTACAGTTTCCGTTTTCCACAGTTTGCAGCAGTCCAAAAGAAAAAAAAACTGGAAAATTCCACAAATAAATGGTTCATAAGTTTCAAACCATACACCAAGCATGTTCAGGCTGTAACACGGTGAAATCTGCCAGCCCAGTCGCACCATCTCCCATTGCCCTACACCCATGCCCTACCGTAGAAGTCGCATCCAGTCTGTTGCCAGCGTGTTATCACAGTGAAACTTATTAAAATGCATAAAAACATGATTTGCACTGCTCTAAAATCCCTAGATCCCTAGATGCAGGATATTATTTCATTGCTCTTTTGTCTCTTGAGAATTAGGTTATCCTTTTCATTCAAGAGAGAGTACAGTACTGTACATTGCTGTATAATGTACTTTATTATTACTTTAATGTCAGTAATGTTTACTACATGCATGTACGTGAAAATTTCACTGTTATCCGTGGTTTTATCCATCCGCGGTAGGATACAGGGAGACAACTATCTATTGGTTATCAGTATTGCAAAAAAAATTTCAACATTGGTGCACCACTAACTGTGCTTAATTTTCAAAGTAGGCTTCAAGGAGACCTTGAACTGGCCGTTCCCTTGTGTGGTTGAACTCAGACACTGGTAAGATGGAGAATCCAGCCCGAAAGTCCAGGTTGCTGACGCCAGTGACTCTGAGTGTGTGTCGGCCACTGCAGCCCACCTGGAGAAAAGGGAAGGGTTTCCATCTCACAAGAAGGCAATGTCTACCAGAACGATGATGCTGACAACCAAATTCAACAAGGCAGGGAGCAGACTGGTCATTTCTTTGAGTACATGTTACAGATATACAAGAACATAGCTTTAAAGGACCTTCAGAGTCCAGATTCCAGGTCTGGGGTTCTTTACATTCACCACACGGGCAGAGTTTGGGATACTCAAGAGTTCCGTTAGTCCATGAGCTTCTCCAACGTGGCGGCCTGGGTGTACAATTCAAACAGCACAGAGTCAGACCTTGTGTAGACATGGAAACATTCAAGAATGACTGGCAAATCAAAAAGGCCTGAATGTTGTATACAATGTGTACCTCAACCTTGACTGCACACACATATCGAATGACCTACCAAAAGGATCCTTCATTTCTATCTGTGGAGCCGGCCCACTGAGGGACACTGTCACCTCCTTCAGGCTGGGGTCAAAGGGCACATTCCACTCATTCTCCTGGGCAGATTCGTGGTCTGAAGACAGCAGGTGGACCTTCATGGCTTGCACCGT